AATATACATATAAATAAATAAATAATACATACAATAAAAAAAAAATTTTTTTTAATAATAATAAATAAGTAAATACTTATGTAAACAAATATTTTGTGTAATTTTCATTCACCCAGCATAACTCCTTCTTGATGTTGGGATTTCCATTTCCATTAGTTTATATATATAAAACTTTAACTTCACTGATTTTGATCTATCATCTAATTCATATATTTATCTATACAGGCAATTGCACATCGCGATCATGCAGGGCTACGTGGAGGCTGCGCTGATTTTGATAAGTCTAGCGCCTCATCCACGCCTGTTGAACATCATAAACGACCACCTGCAATCGCCCTTGCATCTGGCGGTGTTGACGCAACAGCCACTGATTGTCAGGCGTCTAGTCCTGGCGGGCGCGGATCTATCCCTGAGGAATTTTCGCGGGAACACGGCTCTCCACCTGGCCTGCGCGAACGGAGATCTCGCTTGCGCCAAGGCTCTCACAGACTCATTGTATCCGATGGAGAGGAATAAGCTAATGCCCGGGCAAAAAATACCCGCCTTACCTCAGAACTTGGAGCAAATCAACTACAACGGTAAGCGCTCTCGATGAATATCGGCCGCAAAAGATAATAGTTGTTAATTTGTAACGGAGAAGAATACTAAGAACAAGCATTGTGTAGGAAAATTGGGAAAGATTAATCAGGGCGGAAGTGTGTGGAAATTAATCCACATTTGCGAAACGAAGAACATCGAGTTGGCAGCGGAATTTCTAAATGGAAAGCTCTCGTGCAGTGAACGATGATATGTGGGTGGAACCGTGTGTATTTTCCATAATTTCATTGAAAGTGTTTTTTGCGCTCACATTTGGAAGTTCCATCGTCTCAATAACGTCAGAGAATATTCCTTTCGAAACAGAAAGAAATGTTGATTCGATCGAAAGGTAATTTAAATTCTAAAAAACTGCATAGCCATTATATACCAGGCGACATTTATATACGTATATTCCAATGCTAAACCTTATTATTAATTCTAAATAGACCTTTTTCAACGTCGAGATGCGAACAGTTTATGTATAAATTAAAGACGATTAAAAATAGAAGCAAACTTTGCAAAATTAACTTTAGAAAGATAGAGATAGAAATCTCTAATTGAATTTTGCTTAATAGAAATATAAGTGAAATATCTCGAGAGAAAGATTAATTCAAAAGATTTTTTTTAAGTTTTAAAAATTTAAATATTACAAAAAATAATATGCAATACTTTTATAATTAATGCCTAATGCGGAAACGTGACGAGTTTCAAGAAATCCCCCAAAGCCTTATCATATTTATTTATGAAACTTTTAACTGAAGCCGCATTATTATTGTGGCTTATCTAAAATTGAATTTTCATTATAGTAGCACTAAGGAATTTCCCGAGTGAGTACAAGTATGCGCATATTTTTCGCATATATTTTATCGTAGATGACCGCGACTTATTACATATTTGACATATTACTATAAATCAGAAATCCGATAAATATGATCGAAGCAGATCGAATCAGCGAATTAATGAGCAAATAAATTCGTCTCCTTTATTTAAAATTTGACGCTGGAGCGCGGAGATGCATATAAATCTCTCTCTCATCATATGCACAACAAATATGCGGAAGCGTTAAGCATGATTTAACAGTATAAATTGAATGTTTCGCTCTTTTACAAGATTAATTTTTACCGACAGATCTTTCGATCACCGAACTAGCAATTAAAACTTCTACAATTATCATTATTCGATCGAGATTCTTGATTACAATATTTTTTACTCCTCCCGGGAAATTGTACGCCATAAACAGAAGCGTTTTTACCGATAAACGTTTCAGAGAAATTTAGTTTTCCTGTGAAAACAGCTCTTTGCGGTTGTAATAAGTTTAGTCACAAGACTTTCCCATTGTCGGATACTCTCTTCTTCCTCTTTTTCTTCCAATCCTAACACATATAAAAAGGAAGGCTTTTAAAAAAAAATATTAAAAAAATATTTATTATCAAAAAATGTGTGTGTGTGTGTGTGTGCGGCCACATCCTTATCTTTGATTTTATCACAAAATTAATTGGGAAATCGACTGAAGAAAATGTAACATCGCCAATGGCAATTTGGCCGCACTCTTTACAAAAAAGTTTTTTTTTTATATATATCTCATTAAAATAAATAAATCTTTTGAAGAAGAAACTTAAAGAAGGAGGAAGAAGCCCGAAGACATTGGATCTCCTTTCGTGTGTGCCGCTGTTCTCTTTGCAAACTAGAATCTTCAATGGAATTTAGAAAGAGAGAGAAAATTATTCTAATCGGCGGTCGTTCGTCGCGAAATGTTCATGGACTTTTTAAGTCTTGGAAATCCCGTATAGCGTCATCGGCATATATTCCGTTGCAAGCTCGGGCTACACGAGTAACGCACATATGCACGCACGCGCGTGCAAAACGCAATTTAACCGATCGTTCTGAATCGTGACTGATCGAATTCGAGGATAATTGTTAGCAATATTTATAAAATCTTGCAATTTATTTCATTTTCTCATTAATCCTCTATTCATTTTCTCAACAAAGCTTTTAATTTCGATATCATATAATTGTTTTTAAAATATGTGATAATTTCTGCGACGACACGCAATCTAAGCACATTAATCTAAATTACATAAAACTTGTTTTCATAGAAGCAAATTTATTGCGATTTAATTTTTTGAAATATGCAACGTTAATTCTCGTCAAGAGAAGAAACAATTTTATCCAGCTTTGATTTATATAAATCAATTTTTGCCAATAGAACTAAGCAAATAATTGTAATGTTGAAAATAAATGCGAAACTGGTCTATTTATTTCTCAATGTATATCCAAAACTTATAGGTGATGGATGAAAGTGCACGGGAATCTTTACGTGAAGAATAACTTCGGCGTAGCATTGAGCGAGGGAGAATGTTTCGCATGCACGATGGAATTTGGCAGCATTTCTTACGCTTGCGTTACATCATATGGCGCGTCGCGACGCCGCGAGGTCGAGGAGAGGACAGGGGGAGAGCAGATGCTTTTGATATTTAAAAATACCCGCAGGAACTATTTGCATGCTGCTCGATATTCTCGCCTCGCTTTAGCTCGGTCGGGAAACCCCACATCGGCGTCGACGTCAGTGGTTTCCGTCAGACTTTCACCCTTAATCAAATCGATCCTCCTTCGTGACTGACCCTAATCACACGAGCTTCGTGATTGTATTTCCAGCATGAATTTCTCAGGAATTTCGCAGAGTTTTTTAAGTAACTATAATAGTAGTATATCATGTAAACTCTTCGAAGCAGCGACCGATGATCTAAATTAACAATTTCGTTGACATTGACAACCGTAATTGGAAACAAGTAGATAATTAGAGCTATTAATTTTTTCAACGTCGCAGCAATTCGTAAGATATTCGTATTACGATAAAACAGAAGCGATAATATATCACGATCATGCCTATTTGAATATTCGTCATGATTCTGCCTCGATTCAATGGGGGTATTTATATCAGCGGAAGTGAGATGATATCGACGCACTCTAGGTACACATAACTGCAATATTAAATTCCGCCAATGCGACCAGTAACACGGCGGTTAATTTTAGAAGTTTCTTTGATTGGCGCGAGCCTAGTTTGGACCGCGCGACGCCAGCGAAATCTCGACAACAATGATTCATCGCGTCTTCCTTGTTCTATCTATATCTGACGACGAGGTATGCAACTCAGTCCATGGGGAAAATGACGGGAAAATCGGAAAATCAGATGCGAGTCGGCTGTTATTTAGTCATAAAATTAAGCGACATATCTATGTCATGAAACACATATACACAGGATATTTAGAGAGACTTATAAATATAGAGAAAATCTCTTGCTATTTTATGAATAATTTCCACTTAAGAAGTTTTCATATAATTATCTTTAAAAATTTACAAAGTACTTTTTGTGATAAAATTTCTTTAAAATTATTCCGGAAAAAAGTTGCTTTTTTATTAATAATGTACCATTGATCTCAGGTTTTCTCTTTGATTTCAGGCGAGATGTGCTTGCACGTGGCGGTTGCTAATGGACATGTGAATCTAGTGCGTCTTCTGCTGCGCCTCGGCGCCGATCTTGATGCGAAGGAGTGTCTAGCGGGAAGAACGGCACTTCATCTTGCAGTAGAACGTAAATGTTGGCCAATAATTAATTTCTTACTGAAAGAGTGCAAACCTTGTCTGAACACGAAGACGTATAGCGGTCTGACGGCATATCAATTGGCTCTGTATACCGATAGACTGCTCGCCAGGGAGCTGCTGCAACACGGCGCGAAGCCGGAACCGTTGCCGGATTCGGATTCCGAGAGCAGCGACGACGAGCTGAATTACATGTCTCCAATTCTTCAGATGAAAAACGTGCAGAGATTAAAGGTCTAGAGAGAGAAAAATATCCAAATAAATATCCATAACGTAGCTATCGATCAGATACTAGACAATTGCCGAGAGGAAGATGGAAAAAGTGCACGCTATGTATAATATATATATATGATAATATATAGCAAGTGTGTAATAACTAGCGCGAAAAATCTCCGAGAAATAGATTTTTTCGTCATCTGAAAAATCAAAATATTAAACTGTTCCATATACAGGGTGGGCCATTTTAATCAATCCACTGAAATATTTCAGAGCCCTTAAGTTTAAGACAAAAATATTCTTTATCAGGCAGATTGAGACGGATAATAAAGTTTGCCAGATCGAAAAAAGATGTCAAAATTGCATTTTTATTTATTCAATTGCTTGATATTATTATTTAATTGATTTTAAACATCGTTTTTCAAATCGATATCAGCGATAGCGATGTATGCGAGAAAAGCTGAAGGATGAACAACGAACGAACAATAAGTGAAAAAAAAAGATCTCAGAAAAAAACTGATACACGATTAACGAATATTTCATTACGAACGAAGCAACGATATACAGGCCATCTCCTATAGCAGTCTCTTTTTTTTATTATTAATTCTTTGCGGCAGGCGAATATACAACATCTCGTAATATACTAAGTGTTTCGAGAGAACGTTGTACAAGTAGCACAAAGGACAATCTATATTTTAATATAAGTATTGATCTTACAATATTAAAAAAATCTTTACGTGTCAGAGAAAAGAATGATAGATATGGAATGCGTGACGACGCGAGAATAGAATATCTATATTTAGTTAATGTGCATATTTTGCACATAGAAGAGTTCGACAAATCGTGAAAAAGAATCTTGTTATAAAGTATAGATCATAATAAAATGGGATACGAAGCAAATGCATTGTGTGTACAAAATACATTTTATAAATCGGGGAGAAATAATTAAATTCATGTTTTTACGCGCGCGATTTATAGTTGTACGATGCGTGCATCATTAATTTTAATTAGTTAATATATAAATAATATTATATACAATATATTTATATTAGCGAAGAAAGATCCAGAACGATGTTTATCAACGATGAACATTCATCGGATCGGTGTTCATTTAATAGTATAAGATCGCTTCCATCGACACGCATAAATTCATTGTAATCATTTTCTGTACATAGCTACCTTTTGATATAGAGTTGTACAAGCGTATCGCTATCATGAATTATTAATAACAACTACAACGATGACGATATCATTATTGTTACATTCATATGTAAAAGCCACATAATTATTTTTAATAAAAAAATATATCACAAAAAATTCAGCGCATTTTATATTTTTGCTTTTATTTTTCCTCGATCGCGTCTTATTTACGATGCAAAAAATTACACGAAATCGATATTGCTGAGAGATGGGTCAACATATTCCCACGAGGAAATCTGGAAATTCCCACATCGCAACAGGAGATATAGTTTTAAAGGAAAGGACGGATATAAGAAATATTGTTTGGAATATTTTTTTCTGCGTAATAAAGATATATTATATTTTATAAAATAAAGGATATATGAAAAAAATACGATATTCAATATATTCTTCATTTTAATTCTTCTCGTTTGAAAAATTTCTCCTCGTTATACAAAAAAGATATATATATGCTAGTATATAAATATGTTAGGATAATTATTGTATTTATTAATACAGAAAAATATAAAACGAAAAATATAAAACAACAGAGACGTGACGTATTTTTTAGAAATGTTAGACGCAAATGAAACGACGCGGTTAAATCAGAAATAGCGACGTAAAAATGTAGAGCAAGGACCTGTCGCGGAGTGTTATTTCGAGTTTCGTGTAATGGTCTAGGCATTCCAAGAAGCTCGCGCGAACTTATTCCTTTTTGAAGGAGTTTGGGCTACAGAAAGAGAGAAAGAGACAGAGAGAATTCCCGTGTAGGTTTCAAGGTATATTTGGATGTCGGAGAAATGCAATCTTTCGTCTGAGCCTTGCTTCAACACGCAAGCACGGAGTAATTATAGTCACGCTGTCGAGAAAGAAAGTTGTCATATATATCTTGAAAAATTCTAATGTATTATAGATCGACCTACTCAAGAATTTGAAAGCGAATTGTTCATACATTGTCGCGGTAAAGTGCGAGAAATACAACATGCGTCTATTTTTTTAAACAATTCGTGTCATTTTTTTAGCAAATATGTCCAACATTATTTTTCTATGTTTCACGCCCGCGCGTTTTATGTATCCGATCGCCAATTAACTTTCATAGATTGTATTTTGCTTCATTTATAAAAATAATAATTATTATAAAATAATATATAGCAAGTGTGTAATAACTAGCGCGAAAAATCTCCGAGAAATAGATTTTTTCGTCATCTGAAAAATCAAAATATTAAACTGTTCCATATACAGGGTGGGCCATTTTAATCAATCCACTGAAATATTTCAGAGCCCTTAAGTTTAAGACAAAAATATTTTAGACAAAAGTTGTTTGGTGTTGAGGGGATCATCTGATGGTGATCTTTATTTGATCTTGGATCAAAATCCAAAGGGTTATTTCAAGGTAAAATTTATTTTTTTATCGAGTTATTTAAATAACTCGAAAAATACTTAATGAAAAAATACTTTATTATAGTGTTTTGAAAAGGTCTCAAGAAGAGTTATAAGAATATATAATAAAAAATAAGGGATTTCTTTAAAAGAATAAAGCTTCGCTCCATTCGGAGATTTGCGTTTTGAGTGTATGATTGACGCTAACATTAAACTCCGAACATGAGGTCACTTGATTTTTTTTATTTGTAACTTACTGACGGCGTTTGACCTTCTCTTATTTATATCTGTACTGAAGATGGACCGAAACGTTTATTAAATTTATTAATTTATCAAATTTTAATCATTAGATTCATTTTGCGTCCTTAATCTTACGCACGGCTCCTATTAGCCCGTCATATATTATTGTTATTTAACATTGTGAGTCTTTATGATTTTATTATATTACCATAAATCTATCATTCTGCAATTATTTGAAACATTCCTATATTATAATATCAATACTAGACAATATTTAGATTTTGCATAGAATTTATACTGCTGTTGTCACTCGGACGTGGTCCAACCCCTGAAATCCGGTTGCCGAGCATATATCATTGCCCCTGGCGACACTCCACCCTTTTTCCTGAATTCCCATCGTTATTGAGCACCTAAGCATGCTCTTGATCGACAATTTTCCATCATTACCCTATATAATTTCATCGTTGTTGAGCATCTAATAAGCATGCCCTTGATCAACGCTTTTCCTATACTCTAAACCTTCCCTTTTAATTAGAATTTAGGATCGTATGAGAACAATAAGATCTAGTATTGATCGATGTTAATTAAAACCATTCAATCTCATTGATATTTTTCTTAACTCTTCCTTTATTATAATATTCCTCCCTAAATTTTATTTCTCTAACTCTCATTATACCACATTTAACATAATATATTAAGTTTAATTATTAATCTAAGATTCTTTTCAAATTGTTAGTAAATCCCTTTGCAGATGGTTAACCCGCGATACAAGTATGTTCGCCGGAAAAGACAGAATCATAGAGCTGGTGCAAAGACACGCGCCTTTCGTATTACTTCCCGTTTCAGCTTAAAAATTGTTTAATGAATCCAAACCTCATCACGTAATATCTTGTGAAAAGGCCTCTTTATCTCCCTACAAATCGCTTAAAATACTCTCATATATGCCAAAACGGCATTCACGCGAAGAATCTCAATGTAAAACACTAACAGAAACTTTTAATAAATGATTCATCAATTATTAACGCTCGTTGCATATAAGTGATCCCACTGGCCTATTTGCTTATACGCCAGAATTCATATTATTAAGAGAATTATATCAAAATATAATTCATTATAAGAAAAGTTGTCACAACTATAATCAAATAACTCATCCTTTATCCTCCGATTTAATTTCACAATTAAAACATCCCACACAGCATGCATATCCAGAAGACGTCCAGAAGATATCTCGAAGACATCTTTAGGCAATAGAATATCTTCGGGATGTCCTCTGAACGTCTTCTGGATAAAGTGTGCTGTGTGGGATCAACTGCCTGAAGAACATCTGAGTTTATAGATGAGTATGCTAGATATTTAGATTTTTAGTTAATCAGTATAAAATCATAACAAGATATTTAATTAACCATTCCTAAAATAATGAATCTATCAAATGAAACCTTTATATACTGATATAAGGAAGTCCAAAAGCTATTATAAATCTCGAGCGCAACCAAATCTTAATATTAATCATTAGACTTATTTCTGATTATTTAAACGGGTATTTAGATGTAAATTCATCGCGTTTTTAGAAAATATAGAAAACCCTTGAATTACACATACGTATTTTTGTACTTGCATATATTCTTAGTCATAAAATATCTATTAAAATCCTCTAGTAAGTAACTATAGTTCTGTACCTTACGTCATTCCCTAAGTACCGGTCTACAATAGGTGATTTAAGTCCTAAGCCTTAAGAAATTGACCAATCATAATCAAGTATGAAGAGAATACTCGACTGTGATTAGTCAATTTCTTAAGGCTTAGGGCTTAAATCACCTATTGTGGACCGGCACTAAAGCCCGTATCAGATTACGCATTGAAGATTCAAGATTGAAATTTGACCAATCAGAATAAAGAAATTTTAATCCCTTTTGTTCTGATTAGTCAAATTCCAATCTTTAATTTTCAATCTTCAATTTTCAATGCGTAGTCTGATACAGGCTTTAGATCCATTAGTCTGAGAATCTATTACGATTCTTGAAACAAGATAAAAATTACAAAAGTGAGCAAATTTACTAGATTTCGACAAATGAAATCGTAGATACTCTAGTGAATTTACTCACTTTTGTAATTTTCATATCGTTTGAAGATACACAATCAACCCCCAGGTCCTAGCTCTCGGCGTCCCCGGGGTACAGCCGGTAGAAGCAAGTTACCCTATAAAAATAGAGAGCTATCCTTTTCTCACTAACCTAGATATAGTAAGAGAAAGAGCGTCCTCCGCCCATCACCCGCTCACCCGACTATCACCCATCGGGTGAAGAATCGGAACACAGCCTAAGATGTAACAACGACTGATTTTAACCATTGAACTCTATACATACTGGAATGAGCGATCCCATTGTTTGGCTGTTGCCATTATTTCGCCGAGCGAGAAGTGCGTTTGGATAATGGCATCTCTTTCTAATATTACTTGATTGGTCCATGGCATGTCACGTGATATGCCATTCTAGGATTCCTTTGTAGGATCCACTAGAAAGAGATGCCAAAATCCAAACGCACCTCTCTCTTGGCGAAATAGTGGCGACCATGGACGTAAGAAATATCTGGACAGAGCGTATTGCCGCTGGGTTGATGACAAAGGGGAAAAGGGATTGAAAGTTCTAATGTAACGGATATGAACAATCAAGATGGCCACACCGAGATTTCCTCTCACTCCTCAGTCTCTATATCCCGCGCCCGAAAATACCTTGTGCTCCATAATAATGGCAAAATAAATTTTGCCATTGATTTCAATGCTAATATTTTTCACGTTTCCGCCCTAGGGAAAAAGTTACATGATCGGTACCCAGATATTTCTTACGTCCATGGTATTAACCAATCAAAATAAAGAAGTCTTTACTCTTTTTGTCCTGATTGGTCAATCAAACATTTCGAAACATTTGTAGCGTTTTCCCGATTGCAGCCACAGAGATAGATACAAATCACGCAATTGGCTATCGAATAAGTGCCGGTCTACAATAAATGATTTAAGCCCTAAGCCTTAAGAAATTGACATGACGTATAATTACGTCATAATTAATTACGTCATAATTAATTACTAATTAATAATTTCTTACCGGAAACATAATATTAGGTTTGTTCGCGTTGCTTGAAATTCCCAAAAATTTTTGCACTTAAAACGAGATAAATATATATTCGAATGTTGAAGAGAGTGAAAGCGAAGATGCTGAATGCAAAAAGTTCAAGCAACGCAAACAAACCTATTGTGTCTCTCTGTATATGTCCTTGCTGAAAAACACCCCTTATCTCTAAGTTTTAAACGAACTGGCCAAATCTCAACTCTTACAGCTTATAATTTAAAACTTTCGACTGATATAATTCTAAAGGCTTTTTACACCTATTGTAGACCCGACCTTATCGTATGTCATTTGTCACGTTATATTTGATATTTAATTAATGTGTACCGGACTGGAAATTGACGAATCAAATTTAAGTCCTGTTAAATAATGCTCGTAACTCGTAGCCCGTAGCCCATAGCCCCAATTTTCACTTTTAAAAACCTGTCCAGTTTCATTTAGTTTCAATCGTGGCAGAGGAGCAGAACGACAGAACCGAACTGCGGAAGAGGAACGGAAAAACGGGGAATTCCACATAGAGTAGAGAATAATTTCACATAACGAGAGTATTTGCTTGTCATTCGTGTGTCCAAAGTCAAACAACATTTTGCGCTCGTATTTTTAATTCGAAATCAAGTTAAATCACGATGGTGGAAGAAATTCGTGTCATGGTACAGTATTATATACGCTGGCATTCTTAGTAAGGTGCTAGCAAGATTATTTTCGGTATACGTTACATATCACGTTATATCATGTTATGTTTTTATGATGCGTTCTTGACAACAAACTGGCTAATTGCGCACAAATAATTAAATCATTTAATTTAATGTACGCAATAAATATTTTTTGAATATTTCATTATATATATGTATATATAATTATGTATATACGTATATTATGTATATATATATAATACATACACACACACATATATATAATTATATATAGATAAAAAAGTTAATGTATTGTTAAACAAATAATTGTATGTACTGCAAAATATTTAATTTCTTCATAATTCTGATTATATTTTAGTGGTGCGATGCATTAGAGGAATTGCTGCAATGTCCTGTATGCTTAGATACAGCGCAAGGTGTAAAAGTTCAATGTACAAATGGACACCATATATGTAATCAGTGCAGAATACAACTGCAAATATGTCCTATATGCAAATGCTCCTTTATCGTTACAAGAAATTTGGTAGCGGAACAACTGTCAGCTAAATTGCAGGAGATTAAGGTATAGTCCTTATTATTCTCATAATTAACATAGTGATACTAATAATAAAGTGTGAGAATAATATGAGAATAATATGTTCTTACAAGACAGATACATACATTTTGATCAAATGAAAAATAACTGATTAAATGATAAAATTTTAAATAGACTATTAATACCATTTCCAGTTATCATTATTACATCCGTATCACGCACTCAATAGAAGAATCTTGCATAATAAAGTATGTGTGGCTACTCAAACCGAGGCTGCTTGCATACCTTCCACATCCTCTGCTTGTCAAACTGAATCTGTAAATCCATCTAGATCTCTTATTTTGAAAAATGAACAACAGCTACAACAACAAAGACCAATGATAAATTTAGCACCTAGAGTAGGAAAAGGAGTATTTCCATGTCGAATCGGTTCCTGCACAGTGGAATTACCACATGGAAGAATTATCGGTCATATAAGATATCACCATAAAGATGTATTTTATGAGGTATTGCTCAGCAGATTTTATGAAAATTGTACCAGTCAATGAGATTGGAGCATCGCAATATTATTATAAGTTTCTGAAATTTAATTGATCTCAAATTGATTTGAAATGATTATATTCTCTTGTTTGAATTTGCATGTGATTAAATATAATTACAGTTCAGCACAAAAGGTACTGTATTTAAGAAAAAATGGGACTTAGAATACATCATAAATCGGGATTATGATTACGCTTTCCACATCAAAGAAATGGGACTTTTCTTTCTAAAAGTTGCTGTAAATCATAAAGGTGGTCTAATAGCTTACATACAAATTGTCAATTGTATGACTGTGAGCAAACAGTTTGTTTATACATTTGAGGCAACTGGATCATATAATGCCTCTTATACTGGTCCGGTAAGACTATATTCACATACTTATTTATACGATATAATTTTCAAATAGGGGGAAAATGCTCATTTTCTATTTTTTCAGATAAAATCATATGTAATTATTTTTTTTTTTCATAAGTAATTATGAACTTTTTGCAGGATTGTTTTTAGCATTGTGTCTCTCTTTCTTTTTCTCTCTAAAAAATATATGATGTATTAAACTATTAAAAATATTAATATTCTTTCCAATAGGTAAAATCGTGTAGAGTAAGGACGGAGTCTGTTTCCGATTGTTTGCATATACACGAGAATGATATGCGCCAGAACATAATAGACGATCAAAACGTTTTTCATTGCAACCTTACGATAAAGCGTAGAATCGATTATTCTCGCGAACTTTCTCACGATAGACCAATCGCTGCCAAAGACGACATAGTGGAATTATTTGATGACATTTAATTGAAGAGGCAATAATTCGTGATATTACATTTAAAAAATATATATATGCTAAACACTATGAATTTCACGAATATAAAGAGGTAAAAACTAAATTTAACTTTATTGTTTCTACTAAACATAATATTCTTATATAAATAATGAAGAACTTCATTTAATTATGTAATATAAAATTTTTTATCGTTTATAGTACGTTAACAGCTTGTAATATTTTATTTTATGACTCAATGTAATTTTCATTGAAATAAGTATGTAGCTTTAGATTATATTTTGGTCCTATATAGTGATACTGTCTAATTAATAGAATAGAAAAGCATTTGAGAAAAAATAAGATTCTATCACAGATTGCAGAAACAGATGCAAATAATGTGCAAATAATATAACAATTTTTCATCAAATGTTTCCAATTTAACTTCATTACAAAATCACAATTAGACAGTTGTCTTGAAAAAATAGGAAAAAGAACAAAAAATAATCTTATTTTGTTTATTTGCTACATCTCTTATATTCTCTTAGTAAAATAGAACGATATCAGAATTGATCTAAAATGAGAATTTTAAAAACTTGTTGTGACAAAACGAAGGAACACTTCGCAATGTGTACGTATTATGTGCTTATGTTATATATACGTGATATTACTTACATATATAATATTACAGAAAGAAAACTTGTTAATGAAATATTTTTATATAATGTGAAATAAAGCTGTTACATTGAAAACGAAGTGTTCAACCAACATTATTATCGTTTGTCCATCTAATTTTTAAATATAGGATTTGTTTCAGCATTCAAGTTGCTGCAAAATTACAAGAACAAAACAACATGCATCGCTGATATAATGTAGGTGATTTTGATAAATCATTCATGTTTATTGCGAATTTTCTAAATACATCAGCAAAACACAAAATTCACGCGCCTCTCGCTTGTAATTAACATCTACGTTTTCATTTATTTCCTGCGTTCTAATTTAATGTATGTTAAGAGCTACTGCATTTTGCACCTCTAATAATTTTTTTCCCCTTGTTGCTTGCCTATTTTATTCCCATAGAAATTAATAAATTGAGGTTAAATCGCCGTCTCTCGTTGCTCATATCTCGTCTCGCTTTTCTTAATTTGCAAGAAATCCGAAAACCACGTAATGTGTCTGCAGATTTCTCACATGCAATTACAAAATAAATGAAGATTATATTACCTCTGCGCATATCATAATGCCACGAGGATAACAGGCTGCATCTTATAGTCGAGCTCAGTATCCGCTCTTTCTACATACTTTTGAGAATTTTGCGCATTTCTCTCATCGAATAATTAAGTGATTTTTCGCCGCCGCGCATACACTTGTGTGATTACTTAAATCGGCATACGCTGAATGCGATATTACACTGCTTGGCCTTCTTTAATGGACTCCGGCGCGTCTCTTCAAGTGGTCCCGCCCTCGCGTAGCGACTTTTGTTGCTCGAGAAGCCGCTCTAACGGGGAAGGACCCGGTCCAGACCATAGAGACTGCTGATGGAGTCGTGCCTTCATCTGGTCTTGACCAGTTGAATTCGTATTGATCGGCGTATTAACGGTGCTCCATGTATTACTGCTGAACAAGGAATAAGTATTGCCGGTACTCACGGGTTGAGAAGGTTTCTGCTCGAGCTAGAAAAGATGTTATAATGATGTATTCTTATTTAATTACCTCATATAAAAAGTATAAGATCTATAAATTTCAAAGTACAAATTGCAGTATAATATAAAACAAATCGCTGTGAATAACCTTGGTATTAAACAAATGTTTTTTTTTTTTTTTTTAATGTTAAATAAACTACACGATTTCGAAAAATGTCAAGGTAAACCTTTATTAATGATAAAAATGACATGTGTGTCACACTTGAAAATATAAAATTAAAAACTGTCTTGATTTGAATTATATATTGAAAAAATAAATAAAAGAAATTATACAAATGAAAGAAGAAATGAAAAACATGTATATTACAGAATTTTTTCTTAGAGCATCAGAGAGAGAAGAATATAAAAAATTTAAAGTTTAATATTTCGCGCATTTGTACATTACAATAGATATTTTAGAAAATTTTCTCAGATTTCGGTTTGTTAGATTATATACATATGTATAATAACTGTCATTTTTTCAAATTCTCTTAATGTATCGCAAATTATTGCAAATAAAAATTTTATAATCGAAAAACTAATTTAATAAATTTCAGACATACATTTATAAAACATTTCTCTTACTTTATTCTCTGGATATATTGTGGATAAATTTCGTCATGTATTTTATGGACATTATGTATGACTAATGTGTTTTTTGATAAAATGACAGTACTTACTTCAAACAATCTGGAATCCTCGAAATTATTTCCTGTCATAAGATGTCTGCCGTGTTGTCCGTTTTGCTGTTGCTGCTGATAATTTTTACCAGGCGTCAGCGGCACCCTACTTGCCATATTTCCGAGGACAGACGAATCACTCCAGTTTGAGAATGCATTATCGTTAACAGTGGAATCCTTCATATGCATCTGAGCCGCGGTATTACCAGACGAACCCCACCAAGCGATCGGCGGTTGGGGCGGTCGGCTGTCCCTCCACAAGTTAAAGTGCTCTGTCGGCTCGTAATTGCAGAACATGTTATAATTATTCGTCACTGGCTGTTGCTGTGGTTGTTGAGTCTTGTTAACTATCTTAGTCTGATTCGGGAATTGAAAATCCATCGCGTCGGAATTATTTTTATAAAACGACGGCGATGGCTGACTTTGCGGCAATGAGCCCTGACCGACGAAAGTTTGATTTCGATTAAAGTGGTTCTGATTGAAATTAAGTTGAAAGTTAGATCCGCTCGTTGGACTCTGCGAATTGACCAGCGTTGTTAAATTGGGTTGTTGGGGTTCCTTCTCGTATATGGACAATGTCGACATCATCGTCGATACATTTGCCATACTTGAACTACCATTCATATTCAATTGATTATGCATGCTATTCGATCTAGAATTGCTCTGCATCATATTCTGTTGTTGCTGTTGCAATCCAATGGCGTGATTCTGTTGCTCCACGTTTATGCTTGCTTGTAGCCCCATATTACTCGCTGGCAGATTCATATTTTGCGGCAACATGCTTGGCTGAGCGGGCGAACCTAATCGCAAGTTTTGCTGTAACATCTGCGCAGGACTATGGGACACGTTCTGTGGCATCCTCTGATGTAATGGTCTGCTCTGATTGATCGAATGATGTATTCCGTTGATGCCCTGCGGTATTGTGGAAATAGGTTGTCCATTGTTACTAAGTTGTCCCTGTATCTGATAATGTGGCGCGTTCGGCGTCAACGGTGGTCGATTCGTCATAAAGTTGTTGGCAAATTGCGGATTCTGTGCGTTAAACGATTGAGTCGGATAGCAAACCGGTCCCAACGTCGGGGTCTGTTGACTCGCCGCCATGCCACTGGTGTGTAATTGCGGGAGCATTTGCTGAGCAACTTGTTGAGTTTGTTGCTCTTTGACTACTACCAATTGAGCGGGCATGGGAATGTTAGGCGGCAATTTCACAGGTCTCTGCTGACCCTGAACCAATGCGGACTGGCTCTGCGAACCGGCGGATGGAGCGAGCGGCATTGCTGATAGTCGATTTGAAGCGCTAACGAGAGTGTTTGCATTGGAAGTTTCGTTAGCTTTAGGCATCTCTAAAATCGGTGCCGGTTTATTCGCTATGGAAGTATTGATCGGAGCAATCGCTGCTTTCACCTTCTTATCATTCTCTTCTTCGACGATCACAGGTGATATATTCTTGAACGTCACCTGTTTTTGCTCAGACTCCGCGCGCCGCATAATTGCCTGCATTGCTATATTTTGCCGCGGTTTCCTTGCGCACGGAAGAGAACACGCCTCGCCGCCGCTCGTTTCTATGACGCTTGTTACCGAGTCTCGGTTCCGTTCTAAGGAACCTTGGGGCTTAAGGATGCCTTGAAAAATCTTCTTATCTGCCGAAATCTCGACGTCAGTTTCCACAGAACTTTTGCTACTAGCTGCTTCAGACAGTACCGGGCTCATCGAAGTGTTCAATTGTTTCGATTCCTTATTCAGGCTAAGTTCTTCGAGTTCCTTCATCAATTCATTGCTGGGTCCAGCGCCATTGCTTGTGGATGTGAATTTGCTATCGCCTGTTTTCTCCTCTATCGTAATCGAGATTGGCGCAGATCCATTGATTCGATTTTGAGTGAGACAACGGCCCAAATGCAGAATGCGTACGGCCCGCAATTTGTTTAACATCGCGATGTCGCCTTCTAGCGCAGTATTCGTGAATCTGAGACTTTCGAAACTCTTTTCCAATGGTAAGAAACCCTGAAGGTCGCGATCTTCTGGCAGTGGCACTACAGCATCTGTTTAATTATATTTTATTAAACTTTTATCTTACTTTTTTATCTTAGAAAGAAAGAAGAGAAAAAGAAGGAAAAAAGAAGAAAAGAATAAGAAAATAATTTTTTGCGATATTAATATATATTTTTTATATATTTAAAAACAAGCCATATTCTTATCAAAGAGCAAATTTATATAAATATAAAAAAATTATTACAATATTATTTCCTACTATAAACTTTATTTTCAATCAATTATATTAAAAATATAACAAATGAAAATAATTTTGCAAAGACTAACTGATAATCTTAAATGCGATGCAACTACTTACACTCGTCATGCTTAAAATCCACCACACAATTTTGCAGAGCATTCAAAAGCACACAGAGGCTGGGCCATATCTGTAATCTTGATGTAAAAGCAACTTCCTCCAAAACCGTGGGTTTTATGTTGATCCAATCAAGGCACAGTTTTACTGTAGGTTCGTTCCAATTTGCAATCATCATAAAAGAAAACTGCAATATACACACGATATACTTACTAGAAGGCAACGCGAAGTACTCGATGATAGAGCTTTTTATCGTATAAACGGGTAACAACAAAGCAGACAGAGTGCCCGCAATTAGGTCCAATATACAGTCACGGGCCAGTTTTTCATCGTTGGTCAATTGCTCGTTTCTGAACGATTCTGTGCTATCAGTGCCAACTCCGGTCGCATGTTGCAGAGCATATAGATTGATTACCAACATCTGTATCAGCATCCATGGACTGAAACTCTCGGTGGCAACCAACGCGGTTAACGTTTCTGTCAACTGTTTACTGTACGAGCACGCAAGCTTCAAATCGCCAAAATTGTGAATTATTCCGTGAAGTTTCAGAAAGACAGCGATATACTCCTGCGAGTTCAATTTGGTCTTGCCGTCGATATTGAAAGATTTGTCGTTCAAGGCGGAGGACAGAGTCGTGGCGAGATTTGCCATGGCGACGGGAAATGGATGCTTGACAGCTACCGAACGTGCATAATGAAACACCGTTCCTAATTTGTCACCACGGGATGCTTCCAAGAGCGCCAATTGATTATAAGGCTGCCCACTGGATGGTGATAACGAAACGGCATGTCTATAAAACATCTCAGCTTGCTTGCTTTCATTTCTATATCGTGCAATATCACCCAGATGTACAAGGCAATATTGGCAAGCATAAAAACAAGATGACTTGTGAGGCGGGGATAATTTTTCAACAGCCTTCCATGGGGATGTGCACCCATATACATAACCTTTCCTGTAAGAATTGATTCAAGTGTATTTTCGATAATAATTACATAAAATTATGCACACAAAATGCATAATTATACTTCTATCAAAAACATACCTTCTAAATGGTAGATCCAAATCAAATACAGTGCAAATTTCTTGCAGCAAGGTCAAATAAAACCCGCTAGCCGCCTCTAAGCACCAGCTGAGCAACGCTTGCGATTCACCACGCTTGGGATTCTTCCTGTCCTTGGCCTGTGACTGCAGAGTCGCTATATAGTTCTTAAATCCAAGATTCCACAGCTCTTGCTCTACTTTCCTATCCAGGGCGTATTCCAAATCCAGTATGAGGACCTGTTGGTATATTTTTTGCAACTGCTGCTGACATACCCAGGCGTCATTATCATTCAACAAATCCTTGCAGCGTTGGACCTTATCTTTCAATGGTTCCGCTTTCCTGTCAAACACATGTTTCGCATGTTGATAGAACGCAAACTGGAAAAATGTCTTGTATCCGAAGTTATAATCGAATACTCACTTCAGAGCCTGAACAGCTGCCTTTAGGCCCATATTCTGTCTTCCCAGAACGATCAAATGCGACGTCCTTCACCTACAGTTTTATTCACAATTGTTAATATCCTTATCCTACTAAAAAAGAAAGCATAATTTTACTTCGCCAGGAGAGATCAATTTTTTAATAATCAAGAACTTTAATTCCTCTCTTATAACCTCTAATCAGAGATTAGTTCGACTTTTTCGACTACGATCGTCATCGCGGGACAATGTTTAGGAAAAAGATAAAGCAACAGTGCGACAAACATACGTTTCATCATCATCGATTTCTCAAGCGGCAACAACACAACTCAATCAAAACAGATCACGACTCGCGTTCAGCGGAAAGTTGATTAAGTGGACGCCATTTTTTTTTTTCAGCGTACTAAAAGTACAAATAAGCGCGACTCGTGCAAAGTACGAAAACCCACCCTCACCCAATCCTAACCTAACCTAACCCGGCGATTTAATCCGCGCGACACCTTGCTAATTGCGTGTGACTTCTGCTAGATGCAATAATCTTTCGCGAAAGAATCGACAACTCATATCAACTGTCATGTAGCTTGTCATGAAATCGCCATTAAGGTTATACGTGCTGTAATATGTACGTTTTTTTTTTCTTTTCTTATACCGTAGATACGTGTATGTAAATGTATGTGTTTTGCGAGAGAGATGAAGGAGGGGGTGGAAATTATTGCGTGGCGGCAAAACTCGAGGAAATGATATCGCGATCTGAAAATTCGCCGATTGAATAACTTACACGCATTTCTGGACAGCTGTCAGCCTATTAACGCCTCCAACCGTTGACAGATGGAAGCTCATCTCGATACATTCGGAGAAAAATCTGCGTCGCGCTCGTCGCGGACTATTTTCCGAAATTATTTTCGATTATATATATAATGAAAGAAAAAAAACCGGAAAGATAAAAGCTCTTTTTTTACGAACGAGACTGTTTTAAATGCCAGTGATTCATTTCTAACATAAATATTTGTAATATACAATGCACATTATTTATTTCACGCGCACATGAGGTTATAGATTAATTTTTGAAAATGTTGAATATTTCTACGAGACTGCGTTTAGGCGAATATTTGAAGCACCTTCAGTATCTGTGGCAACGGCATAAAAAAGTAAATACGTAATTATTTTGTTAAGATTCTATGTACAAAGTGTCTAAAAATCTTATACAGTCGTGAAACTTTATACTTTTAATCTATTCTTGGAAAAGCATTCTTAATAAACAATGTATCTTACAGAGGATACCAATGCACGAGAGCATCGCGGAAAGTTCAGATAATGGTAAACCGATTGTTTTGGCAGCTCCAAAAACTAGACAGGCAGAGGTTTATAGAGAATTAGCAGAACAAGTCATTACGTTTTTGAATAAGCAAGAAATACATGAGGAATGAATTTGTATTCAAGAGTAATATCTGTATATTTCCTATCCCTCTATAAATGTAAATAATAAAAAGCTATCTGTCTATAATAAGGATTTTCTGTCTATAACAAGGATTTTCCAGAAATCTGATAATGTAAAGAAATTGTGTGAAATTATTATCATAAATTATTACTTTTTCTATTCTCTAAGACAAATATGTGATATAATATTCACTTAAAAAAAATGACTTGTATTTTTTAAAATATATTTCAGAATTGTTAATTTTTTGGATTAATAAAAACAATTTTTTAAGCGTTTCAGTTCGAATCCGGATTTAAAAGCGATTTTCAAATTTGCATAAAGTACAGAAAAAATATAAAATGATCAAGTGTAATATAATGACCTACATAAAGCTAGCCGGCAGAAATTATTAAATATGATATCTTTAATTTTTTTGAATGTATTTCGTTTGTAAATCGTTTGTGATTGATTATGAGTCTGTTTTTAACGTTTGTGACAAATTAGGTTTTTTTGTAATTAACAATTTTAGTTTAGTCATGACACGTCCCAGACAGCACAAAACGTCTTCAGGATCATCCTGAATATGTCCAGGATGGTTCAGGATATTTGTAGGATGTTTTAAGATATTATTATAAATATATTTTATGAAAATTTAATATGCATACATGATTACTTTCGGTTATGTAGGCTATTTAATATAATTTAGAAATTTTACAGCCGATACTTTTTAGTAATAAACAGATTTTATGATAACTGAACTGTAATCGACAGGAAATCGTTTGCGATTTACAAATATACCAATGTTACGTTTGTAAATTGATAATTTTTTTAATTACGTGCATAATAAGTTTATTTTATAATTGTAATGCGCATGCGCAGAGTATACTCAGCTTTGAGACGCGGGACGATTTCCTCCACGCATAAAGGCTGCGTTTGGAAACATCACCCGTGTGCACACGAGTATCGTTCTATCTTTGTTATGTACCAAAAGTTAGAGTCCTAGATTATCAGAGAGGCGCCAACTTCTACCCCCACTATGCTCACCGCCGCCATCTTAAGACACAAACGTCAGTAGTGCTTATACAGGGTGTCCCAGATCATTTGGGACAATACTCGTGTGCAGATAGAGCGGACCAAACTGAGTCGACAAGTCCTCTATCATTTTTTTTATAACGCTTAATAAAGGAGTTATTATTGAGTTAAGTCTGGTCATACTTCACGGCGCGCGGCTCACCGACCTGCGCCCGGCTAAAGGTTGGCGCTGATTGACCAGACTTAACTCAA